TCTGATAACAGAATGCCTACCTTACGAAGAATTGCCTGAAAATGTGTCAAAGTTCGTGAAAATGTTATCTGAAAGGATGGATGATATTCACCATCAAGTGCGTTCAAACTTGAAAACGTCTGCTCATTCCATGAAGCTATGTTATGATAAGAGATCTACTGAAGTCAGCTTTGTACCAGGAGACAAGTTGTGGTTGTTTTATCCTAGGAAGACCAAAGGGAACTCTCCTAAGTTGTCTTCTCCGTGGGAAGGCCCATATGACATAGTGGATCGTCTCTCAGACGTGACTTTCCGAATAAAATGTGGTCTGTGAGGTAAGCCAAAGGTGGCGCATGCCAACAGGCTTTGGCGTTATCATGGTCCATGACAATTCAGTTGGAACAAAGTGAACAGTGGAACAAATCACGCTGCTGAAGAAGTGTCACCTGAAAAAGACACTGTCGAAGAAGAAACTCTACCCGGTTTTGAGAAGGGAAACAGTGAAGCCTTTGATGAAGTTACTACCACTGATGTGACTGTTACCGATAATAGGACATTTCCTGATGGAGCAGATGAATCCCACGTGAAGCAGAAGCCAACGAGACAGAGACCAGTATGGAAGAATATACGTCCCGTAACATTAAGAGACTTTGGTGAATTTTAATTTTGTGTTTGTAAATTCTGTACATTTAATTAAGTTATTGTTAATTATCTATTGGTTTAATGTAAGTGGCTATTGTTTGGGATGAACAATACTAAGGAAGGAGCAGTGTTACGACAGCAGTAGTCACATGACTCTGGTAACACGTCATGGGTTTCTAGAAGGATCATGACTGTTCCCAACAACTCTAGTCTTTTCTACATATCCTCTATTTTAGTATATAAGCCAGCAAATAAAGTAACGGCATAGATAATTGCAGACAGGCAGAGAGAGAGATGGATAATTGAGTCAAATGCAGTAGTGAACGTAAGTAAAGTGCGTGAATCGTTGTGAATTATAGCATGTGTTAAGTTAGAGCGACTGTGGAAATTAAGTGTATTGCAAAGTTGTATTGAGAAAGAATAAACTAGTTTTCTGTAAGAAAGGACTTGTATCGCGAAAGTTTCATCCGAAAGAAATTATACGGGAAATTAACAAATGACCAGAGATGTAACAGTATGTTATAAAAATTGTTAAGTGTATTACAAAGTTTGTATCAAGAAAGAATAAACTAGTTTTAATCAATAAAGAATTTGTATCGCTGAAGTTTCTCGGAAAGAATTTCTATGGGAAATTAACAAACAAGCAGATGTTCCTTTGTTAATCTCTTGGAGATAATGTCTGTTCTACCATGGGAAGATTATTGTTGTAATATTGCATGTTGTGCAAGGATGTAGACAGCTGAGTTCTCAATGTTGGCAGGTGATATCTCAAAGTTATGGCCTCATCTATATTTGAATTAGAATGACAATCACGTTGGTAGCTCTAATCATTCTGGATAAATATATCATTTCTTCTGAAATATGGAATGTTGGATTTATTCAGTCTGGTGCATGGATTCAGCCTGATAAGTTGAATATAGAAGGCCTAGTAAAAATTATACCATCCCATGTAAGTAAAAGCAAAAACACAAACACACTGTATTTGAGTTAAGTCTGTCTTAATAAAGATTGTTCATTTCGTATTTCACTTTGTGCTAGTCCCTTAATTTCATCCATTCTCAAGACTCAGTCACTGAAAGATGTAGCATTATTTCATAATAAGTTTTTTGGCCAAATCTCCTGTTATACCATCCTGTTGCTTTAAAGTTAACTCAATTTTACCTGAATATAGCACAAATGTAAAGGTTTTAACATTACATTTTGTGCAGTTTAAATCATTTTGTTCTGTGTATATGATTTTGTTTCATAAAAAAAATCATATTGTTGAATGCATTTTATCGTTGGGTGGGTTCATTTGGATTATTGGTAAAATTAATGCAATGTCCAGTCCAACTAACAATCACAAATAAATTTTATTTGATCAATAACGTTCACTGCAGGTTATTTTCACTGGTAGGCCTAACTTCACAAATAACATTTTAACAGGAATCCAGAGACTAATGGTACACTCGCCTAACTTACTTATAAACTTATTTGCAGAATTTACTCGCTAATCGATTCATAGCAAAAACAAAAACACGCTGACTAATTCACTCACTAGATTAGTAGCTGAATCACCGATGAATAGATTTCTGCTGCCTAACTCACTAATTGACAAGAACTAGTTAAATCATTAACTAACTCACTCAATCTGGTTTTATATAAGATTTCATTTTCTATGTATTAAAGGAAGCTTCCAGATTCTACAGATACCTTAACATTTCTAGATGTTGCATAATCATGATGTCACAACAAACTCTCTTTAGAAAACAATCCTAATACACAAATAAAATAGTACATTAAACTGTCCATTAATCAAGTCTTTTAGTGGTTTTCTTTTCCAAGGGTTATGGTATGCAGATACCTAAGTAGGTAGTTGAGCAACTCCACTGGTGGCTCTTCAGCGGGTTGACTTTCCAATAGCAAATTATTCTCAGAAATTACCCATTTTCTCACCACTGTACTTCCAGAAATTATCTTGATGGATAACCTTTGGCTTTGACCATCTAGTCTTCTGAATTCTGTAAACCACGTCATTCATTCTCTTAAGTACAACATGTGGTTCTTTCCAGCAACTGTTTAACTTTCGGGTTTGTTCTCTCTCTCTTGCAGCAGGGATTTCACAATCATACTATGCCACATCGATGAATTTCAGTCTTATTAGCCATAAAATCACAGCAGCTTTTATTTTTTTATCAAAAGTGATTTAAGTTTTTCCAGATAAAGTCATTTAGTACATTGATGGTGTTCTTTAGTCTCTTTTTTGCATATTCTGTGTAAGACTCTGCTGAATGACAATCATTTAGATGTGAGTACAGTTAATCCATATGACATTTTAAGTTCTCTTCCAAATATTAATGATGATGTTGTGTTGCCTGCAGCTTCATGTACTGCTGTTCAATAACTCATAAGAAGCAGCGGAAAATCTTGATCTCGCATTTTCTGATGCTTATCCACATAAATGGCTAACTGATTTAAAAGTATGTGATTATACCTTCACATCATGCCATTGGAAGATGGATGAAGGGCTGTTGCTCAGTCTCCTTGATTCCAAGGACCTGACACGTTTCTGCAAACCAGGCAAATTCAAAGCTCCTAATTTCAAAATGGTTATTGCAAATTTGAAATAATTAAGCTTTTAGTTAATTTACATTGCAGTTATTAAACTGTTTCACAATATTTTCAAATCTGTTAACATTGGCATTGTTTGTGAAATTATTTGAACTACTTTGTTAACTGATAGACAAAATAAACGAGCAAAAATAGTCAAATTACACATCCAAGAATCTTTAGTTATTCGTTTTATCCAGTTCATCTTAAAATAGGCTACTTAGCAATTATTCATAACTGGATTTATTTAGGGAACCATAACATTTTCAAACATGCTACTTTTAAGTTTTAGCATTACTTTGAAACTTTTAAAGACATATTTTTGTGATGAATGTATGTAACGTTGAAGTTCTGTTTCTTTTATTAAATAGTCATAACATTTAGTACCTTGCTGTGTTAAAGCACTGCCTTAACTGTCTCCACGTTCACACCTGCGCAGACCTGGGTTTTTCACTAAGCACAGTCAGAACTTTCGACAGAGTTTGGCGGCAGTAAAGTATGTGTTACAACAATGAGCAAGTCAAGTATATTTCCTGATTTGATGTGACTAACAGTTTGATGTCTATCATAAAACCGGGACACTTTTTGTGTCCTAAGAACACTTCTCGCTACACTAGGACAAACTACCAAAATACAGGACTGTCCAGGCAAAACCGGGACGTTCGTCATCTTAGTCATGGAGTACAAGAAATACAAGTGATAATGAAGTGTTGTCGAGTGAACACAAAAGAAACTGCCCCCCCCCCCCAGTGGCACAGCTGTATGTCTGCGGACTTACAACGCTAGAATCCGGGTTTCGATACCCGTGGTGGGCAGAGCACAGATAGCCCATTGTGTAGCTTTGTGCTTAATTACAAACAAACATACGACAAAAGAAAAGCTCATAAAAGCTCATCTGCTTCGGATTCAAATCAGTACAATTTAATGACAGAACTAGAAACTACTATTGAAAAACAAAAAGGTGATAAATGGAAAAGACAAGAAAATAGCAGCTTTAAGACAAGAATATACTTGTTGCAGAAAGAAAGAAGAAGGATTCGAACACTGAACGGCGGGGGAAGGTACCAATGTTTCAAAGACCCAGCAAAAAGATACGGAAACTGATAAAAATTGCCTACATCGTTCAGTTATCTAATATTTCGTTTAAACTACGTATTTAAAAACTAAGTAGTTTCATATGATATCACTATGCAAATCATAACAAAATGCTAGATGTGATGTTTAAAAGATACGTGATTTAAATTTTACGATATGAGATGTTTGAAATCGATAGATGCATGGTTCTGTTACGTCTCCGTGTGTTAATTAATTTTCCGTAACTTCGTTCCGACGAAACTTTAGCGACACAAGTCCTTACTTAATAAAACTGGTTTATTCTTTCCGAATATAACTTTACGATACACTTAATTTCAACAATCGCGCTAAAACAAACGCTATAACAACGAACGTGCTCAACTTCAATAATACTCTCTGACTGCAGATCAATTTCTCACTGTCTCCACACACACTCATCCCGTCACGTTGTGACCATCTTATATATACCAGACTACCCTATATGTAGTAAATGCTAGGGCATTCACGAAGGAACAAGATAGTTCTAGAAACGTGGCGTGACACTAGTCACGTGACCTCGCTGACGCAACAATATATTTGGCTGCTTCTCTTATTTTACTTATTGTTTCATTTTGTTGTGTTTGAACGTTTGTGTGTTCTTCATTCACAATATAGAATTTTACTCTTCAAGAATTTAAACAGTTACCGCCATGAGCGCTGCACGTCCGTCCATCCTCACACTTGGTGCAAGCGAAGTGGCCAGGCAAGACGTCATTTTCCATCAGCCATCTACCTTGTTATGTTTGAGCCTCGTGTTCACATGACTTCTTAGTCACGTGCACCAAGCCATGAAATACTCAACCTTCTGTAATTTGGGTTATTTCCATGTTGCGTTGGTAGAGTGAAAGCTCTCCCGGTACAGTAAAACCAAGCTTACGCATCACGTAAATAATTTTCGTCTACTCCGGTATACTTCTGGAAACGGTAATACTAAACGATATTACCAAGTTACTAATACTGTGCTCAAATTTTTAGGTGTTATGTAAATTGGCGTTAATTAATTGTGATTTCATCGATGTTTCGCTTTCATTTACAAACAAAATCTCTCTCTCTCTCTGTATATATATATATATATATGTATATAATTTTTAATGTTAATAAATATACGTACGATAGGGTAGACATGATTCACCCAAGACCTATTCCTAATTGATTAAACAGAGAGTACTTGCATTTACAAGTTACATAAATTATAAAGAAATAATAATGTCCAATGTTATAAATCCTATAACTTCACTAAGGAATATCTTATACTTATAGTGACTTTATGATGATAAAGTATTTTAAATAATGTTGTGTATATCGTGTAACTATAATTTATAAACAAAAATAAATGAATAATATAGTTTGTTTATTTTTAAACAGACTATAGAGTACTAAACAGTAAACTGCTGCTGTGGAGGAAAGTTATTTGTATTGGTAATTCAAGCTTTTCAGGGAGGCTTGTGACTGTGGATAATTATTTTCATAAAGTTCGTGGCCTGTATGAAACTATTTTGAATTCAGCTAAGATGACACCAACACCAGCAGAATTTAAGGACCAACATACTGAAAAAACGCATGGTGTTCCGTTTCTAAGGAAATGTTGGCAAGATCATGGACAAAAAGGTACGAAATTAATTTTTTATACATTTTTATTTATTGAATCCTTATCACTTTCGTATTGTTTTTACTTTACTCACAACTGAAACTGTGAAAGAAACATTTTAAAGTTAAACATATTTATATTGTGACGTGTAGATCTAATATTGTAAATATGTTTAAAATATATGATTAGGTTTGATAAGAATGCTATCATTGTTTTATTTCAGTTGTGTTTTGTTTTAAAAACGTCAGTTTTGAACACAAAAATGTGACTTAAGCCTACAGTCAAAAATAGAAGCATATATATATGTCGTGTATTATTTTAAAGAAATTACAAGTTAGATCAGTATAGGAATGCAGTTTTACAAATGTTATGATGATTATTGAACAATAACTTAAAGCTCTGTACATCTTGTATAGCCAGCATAACCTAATTGAAGTTTTGACATCTGAAAGTATATTTTCTCCTTTATTAGTTTATAACTTTTCTTAGCTTTAATACACTTAATTCTAAATTTTAAAAAACTGCTAGTACCGGTTAAGTGTAATATGAGCTATATGGCATTATTAGATATATGAGTAAAATTTACCTGAATGTTAGGAATAAGATTACTTTATTAAAGTTTTTATATACTTATGTATTTCACTTAATTACCATAAAGATTTTAGCATTTGATTGGTACTACATTATATTCCTGTAGTCTAGTCTTTAGCTCTTAGTTATGTCTCCAGATAATGCAAAGAAAACTGCTTGCTGGATTAAGAAGACATTGAAAAACTAGAGAGCATTATGTTAGTACTTTAACTGATTAAGTAGAGGCTTGAGCCCAGTTACCTGAATGACCTTCTGTCACTTATTCTTATATAAAGCCTAAATCTGATAGAAAAAAAAAAGTTCTGTTACTTGTATAGATTATGTGCCAATGAATGCTGACACCGATAGAAAATAATACCTAATTATCATTATAAATTGTATTATATATTTTATCACATTATGTACATTTCAAGCTATTTATATGTAAATCCAGCAATTTAACTTTAAACTGGAGTGTCCTTTCATGTTTTTAGTATGTTTTATTCTTTGAGCTGTCAAAAAAGTGATTTATTGCATTTTTGTTTTGTTTTATGGCTTAAAAGCAACTAATTGTGAAAGTTTTTATCACAGTATCTATTCAGTTTAGTGGCTTGTATAATTGATTGAATCTGTTGTGAGGCTTAAAGTTGTCAGTGTTAAGTAGTAATGTTTATAAAGTTATCCTAATGAGCTATTTGATAAACAATTGTAGTGAGAATGAATAATACTGTTCCATCAGTAGAACAGCAGTTACAATTTTGATGGAATTAATATGATTGAAAACTAGAATTTGCAAATACAAATAAACATTTATTTGTAGTTAGTTATAGAGGTACCACTTAAATCTAAATAAAATAACAAAAGTAATTAAACTGAAGAATAAATTTTAACATTTTCTTGCTATTTTTACAGTTAAAACATTTTTTTATTTTCATCAAATAATTCATGTCATAAATGTTATTCAAATGAAATAATGCATTCATTATGGAAAATCTGTCATTTTTTGGTAAGTGAGGCTGGTGTTGACATTTTGCTCTTCACACAAACATGTATTTTAATTTATACTTACTGATAAAATTTTGACCTTGAAATTTTCCATTAGTAGAATGGAAGATTTCCATGTTCCAATCACCAGTAATGGAGGGATTAAAAATTTTCCAATTGGAGAATTTCAGCTACATGCATTGCAAGAAAAATATAAGTTATTATTTAGGTGTATAAACGTCTTGGGAAGCATTTTTCATTTCACCTGTTTAAACATTTGACAATATTTTGGGTGCTAATATTCATGCACATGTATTTGTAAAAACTTTTTTCAGGTTTTCCTTTTTTTTCTCAACAAGCAAACATATCCCCAATTTTATTTTGAATTGCATTAAATAAAAACAAATTGTATGCACAGAATCTATGTAAAGCATTTACTCATGCATATTTTGTATCATATGTAAAAGTTGAAAACATATTGGCAAATTTCAATAATTTGCCTACATCTTCAAAACATGTATATCAGCAGTTCATTATTTAAAAATGTGTGTAAAATTACTATAGCAATATCAATAAAACATACATTAAGCTTTACTCAAAGGTTTTGTTTTGATACTTTATTTGGGTAATATAAAGATGTTCAACTTTATGTGCAAATTAATCTTGGGTATTTTGTAGGCTTAAGCAAAATTAGTGTAAAAAAAAGATAGGAGCAGCTGATTACAATTTAATTTGAAAACTTTTCCATTGATGACCAATTTCAGTAAACTCAATATAGTATCAAGTGTTCTATTACTACATGCATTTCATTTGATTTAATGAAATTTGATTTTTATAATGTAAATTTAATTGTGTTAATGCAATTGGTATAGATATAACATTAAATTTAAGGAAAAGGGACCTGTTGGCCCATCTAAGCTGTCCCATTCACTACACTAAAGTTAAAAAAAAAAAACTCAAAGTCAGCTCTTATCATTCAAATATTTGTCAAGCTTTCTCTTAAATTAACTGCGTCCATCACATTTGAAGGTAACCTGTTTCAAAGGCCAACCATACTGTTAGAAAAATAAAACTGTTTTAATTGGATATTACTTTCTGATGTCTTACTTTCTCAGAGGGCTGGCTGTTGTGGATCACAGAGGTGACTTTTTAATCGAGTCACTCCTTGGCTCTGGTCTGGCGAGAGCTTTGCTCTCTCACTTTGTGCACCTGCAGACTTCCAAAGTGCTTTTCCTGTTTTTCTCCACACCCAATCTCCCATCACCCATCCAAATTCCATGCATCTTTGGTACCTGTAGGAGGCTGTATATTATTTTTCAGTCTATGAGTGGCATGAAACAGATTCCTACTCCACCCTTGGATTTTATTCCCATTTTTTTGTTTCGAGGGAAGACAGTCTATCATAAAACTGTCATCCTTTAACCAATTTCTTGGTTCTAGATGGATGGTTTTCTCACTTTGAAGTTGGTTTATTTTATCAGGTTTAGGATAACCAAGTTCAGTGATTCAGATGCATTTCTATACAGCCTGATTATCCAACCACCTGCCATTTCCTCTAGTTTGTCCACAACAGTTGGGGTTTTCATTTCTGGGTCCTTTCCTTTGAATTGCTTTTGGCCCTGTATGTTTTGAAATGGGTCCTGAGAGTGTTTGCATTGAGGATGCATTTGTTTGGCCTATATTTATATGACTGTATGGATGACTGGCTCCTTCTTGCCCCATCTAAATAAGCATCCTCAACTGTGAACTCCCTTCTCCTTAGGGAGTCATCATCTTTTGGATTGGCTAGGTAAGCTCTCCAAGTTTGTGTTGACCCCCAACCAGTACTTGATTCACTTGGAAGTCTTGTTGACCTCATTTGCAGCTCAGTCTTCTCCTTTATGTGCTTCACACATATAGCTTTTGGTTCCCAAAGTCATCTTATCCTTCCTTTCTTGCGTGAGAGGTTCTTTATCCTTTTGGGACTTACTTCTCTCACTTCCCTTACTCCTCTTGGACGTGCCTTTGTATATTCACTTCAGTTGACTTTGGCCAAACACTAGCATGTGTAGAAATCCATTATCTTTTCTTGTATAACCCTCCTTCTCTTCACCCTTTACTTTTGTGGTGGCTCAGTTGGCCTAATGTGACCCCATGCATTCCTTTTCCCAACACATTTGATTTTTTGCTGTTATATCCTTCCCATATAGTGGTCTATACATATTCTGGTGTTTTAGTGAATTTCATCTCACTTTGGGAATACTCTCTATCGCACTATTGTGTCTTTCCTCACTATTAAATTTCCACTTTCCTGGTCACCAATCCAGAACTGCAGCTCTGGCTGTGGATACTCAATCCTTTGACCACTTTTCCCTATACCATCTTTCTTTAATGTTTTAAATGACAAATTTTCTTCTTGCTTGAGGTAGATGTTGCTCTGATATTTTGGCCTTGTATATCACCCCCCCCCCCTTTAATATGAGAAGAGAATGATTTTATTCTCAAATAGGTTCTCCCCCCCCCAAAAAAAAAAACCTTGGGCTGTCTGGGAGAGTGATTGCATGTTTTCTTCAATCCTTCCCTTTTTCCTGTTAGAGAAATTTGTTCTGATGTCATTCATATTGCCATCTTTCTTTGAAGTCAACATTGTCTTCTCTTATTGTTTGATTCCTCTTCCTCTTGTTACTTATCTCCTTTCACTTTGACTGATTGGATTAATTGACTCCTCTGGCTCGTGTTTTCTTCTATGGGTAATGACACTTTTGCCATTTTATGACACCTTCCATCAAGTTCTTCATCTAACAGCTTCTTTTGTCTCTAACCATTGACATCCCCTGGATGGGATCTTGTACGTTGTAGACAACCACTGACATCTTTGTGTCACATTACTCACACCATATTGCAGTTTCAACTGCTTATCATTTTCATTACCCTCCTGTCACAGTTCTCCAATCTTCATAGAGGCTCTAAGCGGTGAGTTGTTTACTATTCTATTTCTTTTTTCAACTCCCTCATCTACCATATTAATTCTTTATATCTATATTCCTATACGGTACTCTCCCTTTGCTCACAAAATTAGCTTTTCTCATTTTGTGCTGCCCTCTATATGCAAACTTTTTTTTAGAAATGCACGCCGCAAGCCTTCATCCTCCATCTGTTGGAATCCAAAGTTCCAACAGGTCTCTCATTCAAGTCATCAACCATCACCTTTCCACCAGTAGGAGAGCACCACTATCATGTGGCGCATATTTCTTCCTCTAATTGACACTACCAAACTATCACTTCCTATTTGGCAGCTGTCGAGTTCAGACATTCTTTTTCACATTGTTCAGTTAACTTGAAGTAGTTTATTTTTTCACTTTTTTATATTTTTCTTAACTTTAGTTACTACACTTCACAGTTGTGGAGTTAATATTTTAATATAGCATTACTTCCTTGTGTTTCCCGCTTATGAATTCCAAAGTTACAGTCACCACCTCGGGTACTT